TTTATTGGTGATAATCGATGATAATATTTTTGGCTGATAAAAAAAACAAACATGAAATGAAGGGTCAACTTGGAATAATTGATTTCTTTTCATAATTTTTATTTTTTAAAATATATAATAGTACCATAGACGATATAAAACGAAGGACGGTGTGGTCACCAAGTTACATCCACACAGCCTCTCCACCTTCTTCCCAAGAAGTTTTCCACCATTCTCCAACGATGGCGAACCCTATACAAATGCTAATCTCCTCTTTTCTTCTTCTCTCATTCCTTTCCTTCTCCACCCTGGCCGATACATCAACCGTGAACACGTCATCCAAAGACCAAGTAGCATGCCAAATGTGCATTTCGTGTGAGAACCCCTGTCCCGTGTACTCTCCACCGCCTCCACCGCCTGTTGTACTCTGTCCTCCACCTCCACCTCCTCCGCCACCTGAAGAACCCTTATGCCCGCCGCCACCACCACCAGCTTGCCACGAATGCCTACCATGCATTGGCTGTAAACCAGATGCGGTGCCGGCCCAGCCCAGCGTCATCGGCGGTACAGCTTATGCCCCGCCTAGCAGCGCTAGCAGAACGGTGCCTTACTTCCCTTATTATGAAGTGAATCCTGAAAATGCTTCTGCCTCCACCTCTAATATTCACCGCAAACTGTTTGACGTTTGTTCCGCCATTTCCATGCTAGTTGCCACAGTATTATGCTACTTCTAAATAGCTTCTTCTAAATATTGAGTGGGGAAAATACAGTCTAGATGGCGCCCACTTACAGATGTGTAACTAAGATTTTATTGTCAGTGAGTATTAATTTGGTAAAACTTTTATTAGTATTATGGTTTTTTTTTTTTTTGAGCAATTTAAATATTTAGTGAATATCAACTTAATTAAAATGTTGTAATATTTAAAGTACCCATTGTCCTGCGGTTAATAAAATCATTTTTCTTTGTGGTTTTAAGAAACAAAGATATATATTATCTATTTCTGTTAGATTAATGCCTCAATTTCTGATGACTATACCAGTAATTACATATCAGGAAAGTGATAAGGATCTTGTTAATTAAATGATAAGGATGATGACAAATTGAAAAAGTAACTGCATCGGTCTCCTTTCAACTATCTTCGACCCAAGCTATTGTCATACCAGAATGTTGGGCAACATATTGGAAAAACTGAAACAAATTTATTGTGAACATGAGACTCATTGCCCACATAGTGAAAAATTAAAGAGCAAAATGGGACTCCTGTTTAATAATTTTTGGTGGAAGCAAAATTTATTGATAAAGAAGGTATCAAATACAATAGATTCTGCACCTTGGCACACAAACGTGCAAAAAGAGACAACCTAGCCACTTCATCCCCCCCTAATATGCAATAACATATACTCCCACTTAGGTGCTAGGCACTAAAAAAAATTAGGAAAAAAAAATACCCCCTAATAAGCTAAAACATATATATATATATACCATTAGAACTTAAATGAGCATTACTCGAAGAAATAAACTCCCATTAAAACTGAGACCTTCAAGGAAGGTAAGAATCCTTTAAAAAACTAAAACAAAAAAGGAAAAAAAAAAAAAAAGAAAGAAAAGACAAAAAAGAAAATAAAACAAAAGGGTTGGCGAAAAAAGGGGAAAGAAAATTAAAGAATGGAGAAAGAAGGGAGCCATGGCTCTAGAGTTTCTACTACACCACGGTTAGGTGTAAAGAAGACTGACTTTTTTTCTATTTTTTTTTCTTGACTCGGGTTTAATTTTGTTATACAATCACGCTTTCATCTACCCTCTCAAATCTTGATTAATTTAAACATTTGAACATTAATTTTCCACCGTCAGTGTTCAGTATCTTGACTAATTTGAACATTTGAGAGGGTAGATGAAAAAAAATTAATCTTTAGATATGTGAAACACGTTGTTAAATAAAAAGAAAATATAATAATTATCATATAAGACAATGATTGATATGTCATTTGATTTAACATACTTAGTAAAAAATTATTATTTTAAAATTTAAATTATTAAAGACGAGAAAACTTAAAATTGCTAATTTCAATAGTTGAATTGATAGATGTTGATGAATATGTTGAATCAAAAGATTTACCAACTATTTTCCTTACTCTATATTAAAATAAAGGATAATAATTGATATATTTTCTAATTTAATATGTTTTACAATACATTCATTACAAAATTATTATTTTTAAATTTAAATTAAAAACAAGAAAACTTGAAATTACTGATTTTAATTACTAAATTAATGGATGTTAGAGGGTGTATTAAATCAAATAGTGTACTAATCATTTTATTAGAATAAATCAATTTCCTTATCAATACTAAGGTTTCCCTGGTGCCCTTCTCCTTCCTCTCTTGTACTACCCAAAAAATAAAAGCATTCAAAATTATTTTTTTTTTGAACATGGGAAATCATGGGGAAGGGAGAATTTTTTAAGTCATTGTTAAGAGTCGAACTTTCGACCAACCAAATTTAAGCATTAAACCTTGAGGATGAAACCATTAGATTTGAAGACCCCATTCAAAAAAAGCATTTTAATTTAATTTCATGAAATTACAAAATTTAAATTTCTTCTAATATGTTATGAAGGGATTGAAATTACAAAAGCATATCATCAGCAGATTTCTCTATTCAAAGATGAATAGGTTATGGAGGGATGGATTACTATTTGGTGTTTTGCAGTTTGGGCCAGAAATGAGAACATATTCAGAAACAGTGAAGAAAATAAGGTGAAATTTTTGAGTTGGCACAGCTCAGAGCTTTCTATTAGATCACAAGAAAATCATAGGAGCACTGGTTTAGTTGCAATGATTGGTTGCTGGAGCCAACGTGAACTTGAAGGCAAGGTAATGGAGATTTAGGAATGCATCGGTGCAATTCCAAGGGTTGCTCAACTGGTAAATAAATATAATAAATATTGTTAAAAATTAGATTCAAGTTTTGAGACCAATACTTGAGGAAATTAATTTCTTTAAATGTATCAAATCACCATTAAGATGGTCTAGAGTGAAATTAGTTTTGAAAAGGCCAAAAAGCTAATCTAGAAATACTCTAACAATAAATTAAAAAAATTTTAAAAAATGAATGCATCAATGCACTATGATCTTATTATATTAAGCTACTAGCATATTAGATATCAACGGTTGCAGTACCCTTCAATCGCATTCTTAAACAATAAAAAATTTTTACCCTTAAAAAAAATCAAAATTGAAATTTCTCATAATATAATTCTCTTTTTATTTCTTCACAAATTTCTTTATAATGTAGATTTTATAAGAATCATATCATATTAAACCCCATAATCATATGATCATATTAAACTCCTTGGATGAAGTGCAACAATAAAATGTAATTTTATATATTGAGATTGATATAAATACAATCTTATTTTTTAACGAAATTTCACTTTAGTCGCATTATGTAATTAAACAAACAAATACACATCAATATACATACTGCTTAGTGAAAAAAGTCAATTGTATTTGGAGTAATTTAAACAAAATATATATAGAAGGAGTGGGGCGTCTGTACCCAAACCCAGATGTCAACTGCGGGGCTGAAATGGCTTTGGGCCTTAGGCACCTCAGCCAACTACCGCCTGGTTGCGAATCATTTTCCTGTCCATTTATATATAGCAAAGATTCTCGGGCCAAGCTGCCCAAACCCATAAACCCATGAGTTAGTCGTCTGTTTGGACTTTAGATTTGGGCTATCAAACTCCCGGTCCCAGATAAGTGCCGACAGTTAGGAACTCCGAACTGAAGAATGGATGAAATGTGGTTTGCAAATTCTTAGTTAATAAGGTTAATAAGGTCACAAATGTCATGCGTGACATAGTTAATGTTATTAATATAATATATTGTAACCATATTATTGATTATAAAAGTAAGATATATAATGTTAATTTTTCTACATTTCAAAAATGTAGTATACAATAAATTTTGGAGAATTTTTTTGACTCCAACATAACTTAACAGTAAATTGAAATCCTTTAAATTAATCCTTTTTTTTTTTCTAAGAAGGAGGAGAGGAACATGAATATTATTATTTTTTAAAATTTTTTTACCATGCCCAACAATTATTGATACATATATATATTTGAAAATGTCATAGCGTGGGCAATAAAATCACCATCCTCATAAATCAATATTTAGAGTTGAAATTGAAAATAATAATAAAATTAAGGTATTTCAACTATTTGGATTCATTTAATTACTTAGACTTATAGTATGTTTGGGTTGAGGGAAATGGAGAAGAAGGGAGGAGAGAGATTTTTTAGCTAATCAAATTATAACATAGGGCTAATCTAACTATTGGGCTTTAATTAAGGAGCTAATGTTGGGTATCTTTAAGTATTTTAGTGGTTTTAATTTTTTTAATTATTGTTGGGGTATGCATGTGATGTGGGTTGATGAGTCAACAGTGAAGGTGATGTAGAAGCTGACTAGGATGCCATCTGTAAGAAATGAGGAAGGTCCTTTTGGCTGTCACCATTTCACGTGTAAAGAGCTATGCGCCACAGGCTGTCTCACTCTATCCAGCAAGTATGGATAGCGGCAAATTCCCCAATAAAGTCTGAAAGTGTAAGTTTTCTGGCCACACTGGAAGAGCTAGGCAGCAATGATGGAGTTTCAAGAACCGGGAATGATTACACAACTACCAAACATAATAAAAAGGAAATGTACATTGTTGTAGGAGTAGCAAGGATAGAAAATATATAATGATTAAATATTGCAACTTAAGAAGCACATTTATACATAGTATATTGTAGCATAATAGTAAAAACAATGAATGTGCCCTCTATTATCCTTGACAAATACTCCTACTTGATAACGAGCAACCCTCATGTTGTAGGTGAAAAGCACAATGATTTCCTTCAAGCTTTCTCAAAAACAAAAGGAATAAACTTGAAAGTAGTCATGGGAGAAAGAAGAATAACCATGGTGGGGGCTTTTGAATGGAGGGCTTAATCTCATTCTTGATGCTAGCCTCTCAACTTGATCCTTTGATGCTCAAGAAAGTATCCCAGAAATTGAAACTGTAGCATGCTATCTCCTAGCCATGATGTTTTGCAAGTCTAGAAAGTATTTTGCAATGTTGGAAGTGCAGAAAATATAATAAAAATGGTGATTTATGGGTATTTTTGGTGTATATGGGGAGAGGTTGAAGATGAAGGAATTTTTAGAGGAAAAATGAAGGTTTGGTGCATGAGGAAGAAAGTTGGAGATATGAAATCTGTTGAAATCTACTAAAAATGAAGGAAACATAACAATATATATATGCAATGGCACTTTTGTAATTTTCAAGTTAATGGGTGAGAGTAGCCCAGTTGCCTAAAGGATAGGTTTGGGTGAGCTGTTAAGTTTTGATTGGTTTTGGGCACTACTGACAACTTTTTGGAAGTGATATTTTGAATTACCATTTGTTCCAGCGAAGCACTACTAGTTCCAGCGAAGCACCGTTGGTTCAAGCAAAGTATTACTAATCTGCTGAGGACTACACATTTCTGTTAATTCTTCCAACCAAATGTAATACCATTTTTGGGAGGGCACTTGAGTACAACCAGTAAAAATTAGATTTGCCTAAGATTTTGATAGATTTCCCAAGCAAAATGTAATCTTTTTTAACAATTTCCAATGTAGCAAACTTGTGCAACCACCCCTTCTTAATAGTTTCCAACACAGTGTAACTTGAGTAGCCACCCTTGTATTAAATACAACTGCAACTTGCTGCTGGGGACTAAAATAGCATCTCTAGTTGGTTTTTAAGATGATTTCAAGCTTCTAGTTAACATCAAACAATACAGTTTTGAGGATCAAGTCTGTTTCCACATCTTTGCCACCCAACCCTTTCTGGTGAAGTCGAGCAACATTGCCAGCTCTAAGCTTGGCTAGCGCAAATGCCTCACTTCACCAGACAAATAGCGTCTATCCATCC